GTGATGGATCAAGACTCCCTCACACACACACACCAAAAAAAAAAATAAAAATAAATAAATAAATAGCCCTTTTACAGATTGCCTGCATTTTGTTTCATATATTAGTAATTCACTTCTTACATAAGTTTTAATGATTTTGATTAGAAGTTCTTAGTCTTCTCATTTCTAACTGCACACCCATTTTCCTTATTTTCACAGCCTTTATATAATTTGTAAATGATAAAATAAGAGTAAATCTGAAAAAAATCCTCTTTCAATCTTTGAAGTTCATTACTGGCTTAAAACCAATTCTTTGTGTTGTATAGATTACAATTTTCTGTTTTCTCACAACATTAGTCTGACTCTTCATTTTATATTCTTTATATGTGAGTCATTATTCAACCTTTTATTCAGTTAAAACTGGAATTTTTTTCATCTTTGACTTCAGAAATATTGATGTGCACATACTGGGAACTTCATTTTGTGGAGATAATTGCTTACATATATAATTACATGTTTAATTAAGGAAAATTAAAATATAGAACAACTAGATTATATACATTTATATATACATTTATTGTATACATACATTTGTTAGTTACATAACTATTTGTTAGTATCTGAATTCATTACTTCAATCACTTAGAAGGAAACTAGCCAAATTAATATTCTTATAATTGAATAGAAGAACTGGAGGTTTAAATGAAACCTTAAAAATGACAAGTTTTTATACACACTGAAAACATTTATTTAGCACAAACTATGTATCAAAATCATATTATTATAAGTAAATAAATCCACTTTTAGTATACTTTTGACTGTGAGAGGATAAGGATAGGCTTTCAAGGACATGTTTATAGTGACTTGGAATTTAAATAGATATTTTTATGAACCTGGTCAAATAAGCATTTCCACATTTCCAAGTTCCTCTTTTCAATTCACAATTTAGGAGAATCAGTCTTCAAAGGTTGTGGCACTAATGAATACAAATACATTACTGGAAAAATCAAATCATTTTTTGATCATACAGAACACAAATACAATTCTCTATCACAGGAGAGAGAAACGTTTTCAGGTCTGTCAACATACAAGGAGTGGTGAGGAGTATGAGGACAATTTTTCTCCTCTACCGTGAATCAGTTGACAACCTGCCATAGGTGCTTATCCAACCAACGTCTTGGTTCTCTAAGTTAAAATGTCAACCGAGTGCTTGTTTGTGCTTCAGTATCTTCTATGTGGAAGATTAATGTTCATTACCTCTCACTAAGTGTTGATGCAGGTATCCCTTTGACTGAAGTTATCTAATGTGCTTTTCAAGTGTTCTTTTGGGAAAACTGTCCATTGACTAAGGATGACAACCAATAAGAGCATCACATCTATTCTGGTCAGTCTTGTATCCACATTACCCAAGCTGGTGCTCTTCAACTGGCATGTGGTAACGATGCACAACAGAGATTAGATGCAGTGCAGGTAGAACTAGATTACATATTTGCCAGGGCTATGCTAGCTTTCAACTTGAAATACACTGAAAGAATTGGATCCTTAGACCTTGAGGATTTTTGTGGGTTCTTGTGTTTCAGTGGCTTCCTTCCTCCATATTTGACCTTCTGTCTCAAGAGGTAAACCACAGTTAATAATTAGCAAAGACCAATGAAGATTATTTAAATAAAGCATTCACAACTTATGTTGTAGGTATCCTTCATCCAGTGTGTCCTTTGATTTTTTAAAGTCACCATTATTAAATCAAACCCTGTTAGATTACGAAGCACCTGACTTTAGAATTAGTGGTTATGTTTTTCAGTAAAACAATTAACCGATTGACTCAACAAGCAGCTACCAAAACCAAATAAGTTGACTAATTTTGTCAAATAAGCATTGCCTTTGTTAACCATGAACCCATTTCCATCTCAGTTTCTCAGGGGAATCTCAGCACGCCTTTATATTCCAGCCTCTCTTCAAAGAATGTTTATGCCATACAAAAGTTTACTCACCAGTAGCTAGCCAAAAAAATGGCTGTCTAAATCTGGATTATGCATAAAAATTTGCAGCAAGGATGCTTTCCATAGTAGGTCATTTTGAGTGAGAAGTAGTTTCACTAAAGGTCATTTCAGTTGTCAAATGAAGACACTAAGGACTGACATTGTCAGCCTATCTTTGTTAACCTGATTACACACCCATCTAAGATTTTACTATCACCTGAGAAATGGATGATCCAACAGGTTTCAAGAGTCCTAAGGTCAACAGTAAAGTGACAAAAGTAAGAGTAGAGGGGAGACTAAGTCTAGATCCCCAAATTTAGGAATGATGAGGGCAAATGAAACACAGTTCAAGTTAGATTTAAAAGATTAGGAGAGAAGCTGACTAGTTAACCAGGCTCAGATGTGGTCAATTGACGAGGTTATGTTAAGCAGAGATGATTCACAATTCTACTGATGCTTCTGAGAGAACTTTTTTGTGTGTGGAAATGATCTTAGCATTTGTAAGAACATTTTTGTTGTGGGCTTATACTCAGGTAGTCCAGGATAAGTCTATTTTCTCCATTGGGAAAAAACTGTTGTGCTACTTACTTGAGACTTCCTTGGTTTATTTTTGTTTGTTTTATTGTTTTGTTGTTATTATGTATAAAAAAAATGTTTAAAGTCTTGTTAAAGGCAGACAGGAATCCTATGACTTGAGAGAATTTCTTGGGGGAGGAGAGGTTTATGGCAGATGCATTTGACAACAATAATGTAATTAAGCATCCCCTTATGGCAGGTGCACATGATAGAAATAACAATTTAAGAAAGGAAGGTTGCCACGTGGAGGTTGCAGGTGGCGGGACGGGGCAGGGCAGTGAGGGGAATGTGCTAAGGGAGCGTGCTATATAAGCTGCGTGCTTTTCACAAGTGGTAGTGGTTCATCCAGTCTGCTGCTACTGGACTGTCTCTGTGTGTAAGTTTTCCTAATTTTTTTTTTTTTTTTTTTTTTTTTTTTTTTTTTTTTGCTACTTGTGTCTCTTTGGCCTCTTGAACTTGGCACCACCCCTGTTGAAGTTAATAGGGATCTGGCATGATGGGGATAAAAATTCCAATGCATGAATTATAGGATTTCTTTAAGCCCGTGAGGGGAGGCCCCAAATCATATTCGCTGGAGGGCTCTTCTATTTGAGAGAAACACAAGTGCCTGATATCTTGGCCCACGCCAGAAACAAACAAACAAGAAAAGGCCACTAAATAATATTGCTTCAAAACTTTAGACTTAGTTACTTACATTAGTTATAGTATAGGCTCTTGCTTTTGCCCTAACTTTACAGTGCTCAGCTTCAGTTTCTTACAGAATGGTCAAATGATATTTATGAAATTTTCTGAATAGCTAGTCATAATCTGAATTCCCTTCATAGTTTAAATAAACAAATTATTTTTGTTGCATTTCATGAAATGTTTCGAAAGAAGTCTTCTGTGTGAGAATTCCATGTGTCCTTTTTATTTATTCAGAAAACTGGTATTGAATGATCACTAAGCTCTAGGCTTTTTCTCTAGATGCTAGAGGTAAAACAGAAGTAAAATAAATAATCAGAAAAGTACATAAAACATACTATGTTTGGTGAATAAGAAAGAAATAGAAGGTGTATAGAAAGTGTAGGGTCTTAAAATTTTTAGAAGATAAAGTTCTAAGAGATGCCTCACCAGTAAGATGACATTTGCATAATGACCTAAAAGAGGTGAGCAAGTAAGCCATTCCAGTAACTGATAAATGATTATTCCAGGAAGTGAGAAGCCCCTCTGAGGTGGCAGCTTGCCTGGCTTGTTCAAGGAACAGTAAAAAGTGCAGTGTGTCTGGAGTGAGACGAACAAGAGTAAGAGTAGTAAGGAGAAGAAGGAAATGAGATTAAAGAGGTAATGAATATACAGATCAGGTAGTTTTATAGATCATTATAAGAGCTTTGAATTTTGCTCTCGTTAAAATAGGAGCCCTTTGAGGGACTGAGTGAAGAACTGACCTTATCTGCCTTAGCATTTTAATGGTATAACTCGGGCTGGTGTGTTGGGATATTGTAAAGATGAGGAGGGTGTAGATGGAAAAAGGGAAACCAGGCAGAAAACTGTGAAATAGTCTAGGTGAGTGATAATGGCAGGACAGTAGCAGTAGTAACTGAGAAGTGGTAGGATGTCTGATAGGTTTGACTTCATGGTCAAAGGGATGTATTGATGCATTAGATGCAGTTGAATTAAATATTTCCACCTATTTCTTAATTAGTAGAAAAGTTACTCTGAATATGATTGTGTAGCTAAACTCTATCAACACTAATTTTCTATCAGATTTTACTGTTACCTTTAAATATGCTATTGAAACTCTGAGAAATTAGTATATGTTCATCAAAAACTCAGTCCTAATACTAGCAAAGCTGCATTGTTTAAAAAACTGGTATTAAAGAAGTTTATTTTTAATCTAGAATCTTATTTTCCACCTAGAATCTTATTTTTCTGACTATAGAAAATGGATGTGGAAGGAACTGGCTCAGTAATCACTATCTAGTCACTAAGAGAATGTGTGATTGTTTGGCTCTTGGGGTTGGTCAAGGAGCCAATGAGGTCAAAGTCACAGGTGCACTCTTTGTATAAGCTTACGAACTTTGCGTTTTCTCCTCCAGAGAATCTGTTTCTGATCTCAAACATTCAGCTCAAAAAAACATTACCTTGCTCATGCAGGTAACCTGCAAAACAGTATGGAGAGGTCAGTCTAGGTCCATCATCATTTCTAGAAACACAATTCATACCACTTCCTTTACTTACTAGCAATAGAAGTAAATGACATGTCCTCATATTTAGACAATACATTATGACTAAGGAAATAACGAATACAAATGTTCTGCAGAATTTTTTTTTTAGTGAAGTATACATATGACTTAAAGTATTTTTATAAGAAAATTTTTATTTTATGAATTTATTAAAAGTATAGAAAATAGCTTTCAATAACTAATGCAAAGCTGTAAAATAATCATGACTCTTACTGAATTTACTTCTTTTTCTATTTTATTCCAGAACCTACAGATAGACCACCTATACTATTAATTGCAAATTTTGAAACAATTGAAATTTTCTATCTTAATGGAAGTAAAATGGCAACTCTAAGCTCAGTCAATGGAAATGAAATTCATGCTCTGGATTTTATTTATAATGAAGATACGATTTGTTGGATTGAATCAAGAGAATCTTCAAATCAACTCAAATGTATCCAGATAACAAAAGCAGGAGGATTAACAGATGAATGGACAATCAATATTCTTCAATCCTTCCACAGTAAGTGTTTCAATTAAATATTATATGCCACCCTTTACTGATTTCATTTACAGACCCGTAGGCTGGATTCTCAAATTTCTAGCATAGCTCATGGCTGTTGGAAAGCTGTATGTGCAAATACAGTGAATTTGAATTACTGTATTCACTACATGTTTTGCATATACAAACACATACACATACACTTTCTCTATTTAGGTAAATGGTAAATTGCAGAGTTAATTGTAGTTCTTTCTTTAAGGCTTTTTACAGTGTCATCTAACTGGGAATTTTGATTTTTTTTTTTCCCACTGAGTGGTAATTCACAATGTGATAGTGAAGGTGGGATTAAAAAAAAAAAAAAAAAAGGGACAGAGTTGATAATTATAAGTGCATTGACTGTAGTTAAAAAATACCTTAAATAATTAGGTTTATGCTAATTGGGAGTAACTACCTGTGTTAACTCTCTTTAAAGCAAATCAATTTTTATACATCCTCTTCCAACAAACTTGTGATTTGTGATTCACTTTGACTTCTCATGTCAGAAACTTGACAGACTGTCCTTCTCTTCCTGCATATTACCATAAACTGAAATCTCATTGTCACACGCACACACACACACACACACGGAGATGCACACATATTCTCTCTCTCCTTCTCTCTCCCTGCTTCCACATGGAAGTACGAAAATTGCTTTGTGTATGCTTAGGGAAACCATAAGCATGAAAATTTTAACATGTATCCATGTAATTTATGATTTATAGAAAGTGTTTCTTACAAATTCAGCTAAGATAAAATCTAGAAAAATGAAGAGAAGCTGGGCACAGAGGCTCATGCCTGTAATCCCAGTACTTTGGAAGGCTGAGTTGGGTGGATCACCTGAGGTTAGGAGTTCAAGACCAGCCTGGCCAACATGGTGAAACCCTGTCTCTACTAAAAATACAAAATTAGTCGGGCATGCTAGGGCATGCCTTTAATCCCAGCTACCTGGGAGGCTGAGACAGGAGGATCGCTTGAACCCAGGAGGTAGGGGTTGCAGTGAACCGAGATTGTGACATTGCACTCCAAACTGTGTGACAAGAGCAAAACTATGTCTTAAAAAAAAAAAAAAAAAAAAAAAAAAAAAAAAAAACGAAGAGAAATGTGTACAATCAAGTTAAGTGGAAAAGAAGAATGCTGTGATAGGATAAAGGTGATTTTCAAATTTAGAATATTTGGTCTAGTTTCAATAATTAAAGCAAAATAGGACATACAGGTATAATTTTATATACTTAAATGAACAAAGTGTTTAATAAATATTGTCGAACATTTTGAAGATCCTCTTAATATAAATGAAACAATTGATAAAGTTATTTATTGTGAAAAGAGACCAAAATTATAACGAAAGCAGTGGATATTTCAAGAACTCTATAGAGAAATGGTCATCCATATTAAATAATAATACATTTAATAGAGGATGGCAAAAGGCAGATAATCCTTATCATGTAATTTATGTTATTTATTATGTAAGTAATAAGGATTATCTGCCTTCTGATGCAAGTATTTCAACATTGGCTTAGGCAGCAGCTGGAAACTGAACACAAGGCCCCAGTCCTTGCTACATTAGTGATTACCTCAACTAACCCAAATGTGTTTTCCTCAGCGAATGGAATACTGAATAGTCAAACAGCTAAAATATTCACTAAGTTGCCCAGTAGAGTTATTTTCTAAGAGTATTTAAGAACATTTATCTACACTTAATATGTAGAAGACTACACTTAAAGTAGTCTTCTCTTCTTTAATATATGTTTTAAAAACAACTTTTTAAAAAATAAATCTAAGGAAGGTCAAACAATTGCATATTGAATATTTGCAGAAAATAAGTATAACTTAAATTTGATTTATTAAGCAATTCAGCAAACCTAGAAACATGTTTTGTTGTCATTGTTGTTGCTAGGGAATTCAGTGAAATGCCAAATAGAATATTTATTTTGAATAATAAAAATAAATCCACTGAAAATATTTTAATCTGAGTAAATAATTTGTGATGAGGTTAAGTTTAAGCATGCAATTACATAGTCACGTTAGAAAAAAGTGATTAAATACGTGGAAGTAATTCAATGACTGGAGTGGGGCAGGGGTGTGAGCAGGGCTGAGCTTCTCTGTCATTGCTTGTAAGCCACGCATTTTATCAACATGTCACAGAAGAGCTGCCATTGAATACGATGGGCTCTGTGTTCACTGTGACAGTTTGTGAGATGATGAAGTTTGAATATTCTTTGCATCTATAATTACATAAAATCTTTGTCATACCATATAAGCAAAAATAATGAACTGATGGAAGTCAGCCTGAATACCTGTCACTTTTATCCACTGTTCCAGAGATTCTCTTTGGTTCCTCCCACCCCCGTTATATGTAGGTGCTTTTCTCTTAACTCACCTGAAGAGAACATACTTTTTTGAGAAAATATAAACATTTTAGTTTTCAAAGGATTATTATGAGAAGAAAATCAAACATTGCAGGTCAAACTGACTTGCAGTTAACACTTCCATAATATAGTAGTAAATATTTTATTGCAGTATTTTTAAAAATTGCACATCTCATCTCATTGGATACCCACTGCATCCCTGTGTAGTAAGCAGGAGAGATATGCCCTTCCTGTTTTATAATAGATGGTATTTTTACTTAAAGTTCAGATGTATTAGGCAAACCTGGATGGCTAAAAAGAATGCAGAAGTGGGACATCTAAGCCCTGTTTTTTTTCTTTTACACTAGAAAAGCAAATCTACCTTAAATGATATATTTTGACTGTGTTAAATATGCTGAAAGACTATCTGCAACAGGGAGATATTATTCTTTTGTTTTTATGGGAAAATTGAGACTGAGCAGTTAGATAATTGTACACAGCATAATTAGGTAGGTTTGCTTTTGGGTCGGACTTTATAGCTTTTTCTAAATACCACGCTGCGTTTAGGTCTCAACTTTTTCATGTTAGCAAAGCAAAAATGATTAGGTCTACCGATATTAGTAATGTTGGCTTGCAAAGACAGGTCCTCTTAGTGGGAGAGAGTTGTATGAATCTTGGAAGGGAGGTGGAAAAAGTGGGTTGTAGAAATCTATAGCATTGAAAAGGCCGACCCAATGATTCTGATGTGGCCTCCTTAGAAGTCTTACGTTTAACATTGTACATCATTCCTAAGCAATATTGTGAGAGAATCAAGATGAATGATAATAATATGCTCAATAAATTGTATTAATGAACCTTGGGGGAAATGATAGAAATTAAATTTCCTATTGAATTGTATTCTTTTTCATAACGATAACTAATATTTATTATTTAGCATTTTAGCCTGAAAGTTGCAGACTTTGGGGATAATTTTGGAGTTAGGTGTCTTCTAAGCAAAACTTGTTTTTTAAAAAAGTATTCATATAAAGCACATTTGTAGCAGCTGATTGTTTCCCAAAATTTTTCTTGGAGAGTACTGTGGTAGGGACACAGATACCCAAAATAACAAAAATTATGGGATTTACAGAAGTGTTGAATTCCATCTGTTTCCTCAGGACAAAGTGCATAGAGACGACTGAGATAAGAATATCTTCTGAGTTAATCTCTTATTAAGGAGGATGATTCAGAGCCATATAGTCATCCCCCAGCTGGACAGTAAACACTTTCATTGTCTTTTTATGGCTGAATTCTTCAATACTCTGAAAAATTCAAGGATCACTTTTAAGATTCTAACATGGATTTAGCCAGCTTCTCTTGAGCCACTTATGGGCTCAACTCCAATCCAATAGAGTATACCTAGCTAAAAATAAAATAACTGCTTATTCTTCATGGACTTAGCTTCTGAATTAACCCCATTCACAGACTTTTATCTTTTTCCTTAGCTTGTTTTAATATCAACCTTATATCATGTTCTATTTAAACCTCTAGCTAGAGCTACTAAATTAAGTCCTTATTGGATAATTTTTGAATTCTGACTCTTTTTTATCTTTTATTTAATTTAATTTTATTTCAAGTTCTGGGATACATGCGCAGGATGTGCAGGTTTGTTACATAGGAAAACGTGTGGTTTGCTGCACGTATCAACCCATTATCTAAGCATTAAGCCCAACATTCATTACCTACTTCTCCTGATGCTCTCCCTTCCCCACCCCACCCCCACAACAGTCCCAGTGTGTGTTGTTCCCTTCCCTGTGTCCATGTTTTCTCATCGTTCAGCTCCCACTTTAAAGTGAGAACATGTTTTTCTTGGTTTTCTGTTCCTGTGTTAGTTTGCTAAGGATAATAGCTTCCAGCTCCATCCATGTCCCTGCAAAGAAAATAATCTTGGTTCTTTTTATGGCTGCATAGTATTCCATGGTATATATGTACCATTTTCTTTATCCAGTCTATCATTAATGGGTACTTGGGTTGATTCCATGTCTTTGCTATTGTGAATAGTGCTGAAATGAACATACACGTGCATATATCTCTACAATAGAATGATTTGTATTTTGGGGGGTATATACCCAGTAATGGGATTGCTGGGTCAAATGGTATTTCTGGTTCTAGGTCTTTGAGGAATTGCCACTCTGTCTTTCACAATGGTTGAACTAATTTGTAACATGTAACTAACATGTAAAAACATTCTTATCTCTTGACAGTCTCACCAGCATCTGTTGTTTCTTGACTTTTGATAATCGCTATTCTGGTTGGCGTGAGATGGTATCTCATCATGGTTTGATTTGGATTTCTCTAATCAGTGATGTTGAGCTTTTTTCCACATGTGTGTTGGCAATATAAATGTCATCTTTTGAGGTGTCTGTTCATGTCCTTTGCCCACTTTTTAATTTGTGTGCATGTGTGTGCGCACGTGCATGTGTGAATTTAAGTTCCTTGTAGATTCTGGGTATTGGACCTCTGTCAGATGGATAGATTGCAAAAATTTTCTTCCATTCTGTAGGATGTCTGTTTGCTCTAATGATAGTTTCTTTTGCTGTGCAGAAGCTATTTAGTTTAATTATATCTCATTTGTCAATTTTCGCTTTTGTTGCAATTATT